TCGAGCAGCCCGAGCCGCTGGCGGGCACTGCTGCGTGTGCGCGGCGATCGCTGCGCGGCGTGCCCCCGCGTGCCTATCATCGCCCGTGGCGGTGTCCGGTCGCTCGGCCGCGGTGGTGCCAGCCCATGCTGACCACCTATCAAGCCACGCCAACCCAACACTTTCGCCCGAACTTCGGGTTTGGGGAGGTACAGTGGGGGCTCGGCCACAAGAAACCTCCGAAAGAAACCCAACCCTGAAATCCGCGATTTGTCAAATGAGAATCCAAATTTGTCGATCGACCATCATCAAGATCTTATTGAGGGCCCATCGAAGTTCAAGAAACCCAAGGCACCCTGGCAAAGTCCAACTGGTTTCTTGGCACGCGCCCCCACTGTATGGGCTTCCTACGTGTTTTTGTTCCCATATTCCCCGACCCCCCTCCCCACTGGAAACGGAAGGCAAAGTGAGGCCTTCTGGTCGGGTTGGAGTGGCTTGGCGGGTGGTGACGCACGACTCGTGCCAGCTCGACCAGGGACGGCCGCAGTGCGTGGTCGCGGGAAGGCCCAGGGTCCGAGGTCCACGCTCACAAAAGGCGCGCGCGCACATGCACACTCACACACGAACGCCTCCTCCTCCCCCTTCCCCTGCTCCTCCCCTTCCTCCCTCCTCCCTCCTCCTCCTCCTCCTCCTCCTCCTCCCCCTCCTCCTACTCCCTCCTCCTCCTCCTCCTCCTCCTCCTCCTCCTCCTCCTCCTCCTCCTCCTCCTCCTCCTCCTCCTCCTCCTCCTCCTCCTCCTCCTCCTCCTTCTCCCCCTCCTCCCTCCTCCCTCCTCCTCCCCCTCCTCCTCCTCCTCCTCCTCCTCCTCCTCCTCCTCCTCCTCCCCCTCTTCCTGGCACACATTGTGAGCGCCTCGGGCAGGGCGAGGAGAGAGCCACCCAGCCGTTCGGGAAGTGCGGGCCCAGCTATGGAGAGAGCTATAAAGCTGGGCACGGCAGACGGTCCCGCGCGATGCAGCACAGGCTCGAAGTGCCAGAGTTAGGACGACGAGGGGCCAAACACGGGGCCAGCGAGACAAGGCCACGGGGAGCCAAGCCGAGCGAGGAGGCAGGCGGAGAGCGGCGGCAGACATCGGAGGGAGGCAGGCGGACGGACGAGACTCGACAACTGGCTGACCGACGGAGGAGTGGGAGCCGAGGGGAGGAGGGGAGACACCACGCACCACATGGGCAAGGAAACACACGAAGAGGGAAGGAAGAGCCAGCCGAAGAGGGAGGCCCGAAATGAAGAACGGTGACAATACAAAGGCAGAGGAAAAAACACACATTGGAACACGGGCACACACACACACCATATACACCACACACACAGACACACACAGACACACACACACACACACGGACACACACACACAGACACACACAGACATACACAGACACTAACACGCGTGAACACACGCACGCACGCACGCGCGCGCGCACGCACGCACGCACGCACGCACGCACGCACGCACAACACGCACACACACACACATACAAGCATACACAGACACAGACACAAATACAAACATCATAACACACACACATACTCTTTTTTCACAGTCGTGATCTAAAACAAGAACGGGCTACGCACACATTGCTTGCGATGATGCGATGATGGCGGTGCTCGCATTGGAGGACACATCCACACATGACGGGCTCACATATGAAGTCCGACCCACCCCGGAAAAAAATGTGAGCCAAGCTATCTGCGGAAAGAGGGGAATCAGGAAGAACGTGAGAACGGAAGAAAGAAAGGAGTGAGAGGATGGGGACCGGCTGGGGGGGGGCAGGGCGGGAGGGGTCAAGTTCTGCAGCGCCTGCCCGACTCCGGAAGTGATGAAGATGCGGGGGTGAGGAGTTGGAGAACGGTAGCCCTATGCCCCCGAAGATCACAAGCTGGGGATAATGAAGTTCGGGCTCTGGAGGATCATACACTTGTATTTTTTCCCGGCAGGTCGCAGCATGAAGGAGGAGGAGTAGTGAACGGAGTTCTTCGGAGTGTGCGGATGTTCCGACTGTTAACGCATGTTTCGAAGTGTAGGAATGCAGAGAGGTCGAGACATGTTTCGGAGTGTACGGAGTGTACGGATGTATGGAGGGGTGGGAGCAGCGGACACATGCGGGCACCGCCACTGGAACCTCCCGTGGAGCTCCCTACGGGGTCACGAACCGTGTGAGGGGTTTGCCAGAATGGTCCTTTGGAAGATACTGATGATGATGATGATGATGATGATGATGATGATGATGATGATGCTGATGATGGTAATCATTATGATGATGCTGGTGATAATGCTGCCAGTAATGGTAAGAATAATTCAATGTACGATTGGTACCCCCCCCGGTGAAGATGACGTTTAGACCCGTCGCTCCACAGCCCCGGCCAAAACTGTCTCGGCTGGAGAGAACCATGATGTCGGTGGGAAGAGGGGGATGCTTTACCTTCGGGGGCATGTGGTTGAGGAGCAGCAGCAGGAAAGGGGATCGAGGGCAGAGCAAGAATAAGAAACAAAAGAGGAGGCATGCCAGAAATGTGGACGGACCAGATTGGCAAGATGTCCACCGACACATGTGGCGTAAAATCTACAGCGTCCACTGTTGCACAGACGACGCTTTCTCTCAAACGCACGACGTCCGCGGCGACGCCGACAGCGAGCCCTTTTGAAATTTGGCATGAACAGCTGTCGGCGTTCGACCACTGCCATTTCACACCCACCTTAACCTCCCTAACATGAGCGAAGCTGGCTTGAAGAAAACGAGTCCTGAAGGAACTGGTTCGGGAGGCCAATGCATTCTCCAAGGACCAATTTGTCACCCTGAATCGGTCGCTTTTGAATGTCCCAGGGGCCTGGGGGCCTGGGAGTAGAAGAACAACAAAAAGGCATACACATAAACTTGTGGCGCTCCGCGCGGATTTCTTCGATCTGCGCTGGGCCCCCCTCCCTGGCAGGCGGAGCGCCTAAAGCTTATGTTCATGCCGATTTTTTGTCTTCGGTTTCGCGCGACCTTACGCGAGAGTTACGCGCGAATGTCGGCGCAATCGACCTCGTTTCTCTGCGTCGCTCAAAAGCTGACAGTTGAGACCAATGCCAAGAAACACCCTGCTTGCCTCCAGGAAGCCCCAAGGGCGTCATGGTTTCCAATAGCTTTGCCACGGCAAGCGCAATATTCCCGCACCAAAATTATCCATGGACGTCCTGGGATCTCAGGGTTGGGCTTCTTTCGGAAGGTTTCTTGTGGACTGGCCTCCACTGTATGTTCATGTTTTTCTTCTTCGATCGGGGAGACGTAAGACACGAGTACGGGGAACTCGGGTCGGCCTGACGGGGCCATCGTGAAAATGACGAGACCCAATCCGAAATTTGACGCGAGCTCCCGCTGCAAATATCCCACGAACACCGGACCGTCAAATCCAGGACGCGCTCGTCAAAAAGGTCGGCAAACCCGAGTTCTGGCGTTGGTCCCTGACACCGCGGGGACCGTTCAAACTTGAACGATCGGTAGTTGACCAAACGCCCGATCGTTCAACATCGACCTATTTTGGGTCGCCAGCGGCGTTCAAACTTGAACACCCGCACTGGGGTCGCCGCTGGTCGACACGACGCGAACCTACCGTACTCGAGCTTTCACGCTTCCAAGAAAAGATACCCAGAGCACGGGAACGGAGCATCTCCGGCACCGTCCCCCGCAGGGAGGCCGCTTTTTTGCCCCCTGGCGATCGGAGGCCGCCTTCGTGGGCAGCATCCCCGCCTTTGTGGGGATCGAGCCCGCGGGCACCTGAGGGGAGAGGCAGGAGGAGGAGGGGCAGGAGGAGGAGGAGTGGGCGGAGGAGGAGGGGGCGGAGGAGGAGAGGGCGCAGGAGGAGGGGCGGAGGAGAATCGAGGAGGGGGGGAGGATGGCCATGGCGACGGCGACGGCGACGGCGACGACGACAAAGACAACGACGACGACAAAGACGATAAAAAAGACGACGACGACGAGGGCGACGACGACGACGACGACGACGGCGACGACGACAAAAACGACGACGACGATGACGACGAGGACGACGACGACAAAAACGACGACGACGGCTGGCCAGAACGGAGGCGTGAAGATGGGCACCGACACCAAAACCGGGAGGGGTGCGTCCACGGTGGGAGGACGCTCCTAGGTTCCGGGGTTTGGGTACCTTTCGGCCACCCGGGAAGCACTAGCATTACCATTCGGTCGAGCATGTCTAAAGAGGCCCTGGGACACACAAATGAATACACACAGATAAAAGGATTCCCGATATTTTCCCATATTTTCTGGGTTTCTGTCTTCCCCACCACTTCCTATCTTTTCCAATATTTTCTGGGGAATCGACGATTAATGGTGTCTGTGTGTTGTTTTCCCTCCTGAATGTCCTCCTACACGCGGATTTCCTGACAAAAACTTGAAACAATAAAAACAGACTTAAACACAGTCAAACAATAAACAAACAAATCGTCCCAGGACTAACTTTCTGGCTGTGTTTGAATTTTCCGCCTGTAGAGGGACATGCGCGACGGGATATGACCACCATCACCGAAATCGGGATCGTCTTCCCTCGGTGGAGGCATAGTTGCCGCCGATGTCGCTGCTGGTGCCAGCCTCCAAGCCTCCGATTCGGGGGGGGGGCGGGACTGGCACACGCGGGGGGCGGGAACATGGACCTGGAAGCGGCGACGCATCGCCGATATACAGTCGAGGCGTTGGCCTAAGGAACCCTGAATAAGGAACGAGGCCCCTTTCTCCATAAGTTAAACTTCGACCTCCCATCGAAAAGTTGAGGAAAACCCTAGGCGAACTGCGAAACACTTGAGGAACACCGAGCCCCTCCCCAACGAAAAGGGTCCCTTCTCCAGCGCCCCGACTGCGTGGTCGATTAACAAGCACGTTTTGGGGGCGCATTTCATCTCCTCTGTTTTCTCATCTCTTGGGGGCGCATTTCTTGCTTCCACGATCTTCCGCCGCCCGGCCTCGTGCTACTTTTAAGTCGGGCCTCTACTGGGCGAATATTGAAAAATAGTTTTAAAAAACAATTAGGGGACTATCTTTTAGTGTGTGCTTGACAACTTTGGAATATTTTTCCGTCTTTTATATTTGTCCTCGGGAATCCCCCTGTACGGGGACACACCCAACTTAATGCTGCTTCCGCCGACCTTCCGCCGCCCCTCCGGCGGAAGGGATGACGACTCCCTCGGCCCTCGAGGGCAAGGCCATTCTCCCCTACCGGCGATGCAAGAACCGCACTTGATACACCGATACTTTTTTAGGTCCCGCACTGAGATTCGCACAAGAAAACGGATTCTGGTGTATACGGCATCGTGGTGTGTACATCCTTTGCTCTTTCCATAGGAAAGCGGGGAAAAATGTATACACCACACAACCCCGACGTCGTTCCCAACCCTCAAAAAAGCCCTGGGATTGAAAAACCGCCCGCCACTGGTAATGTAGGATCCAGCAAGATCCTGCACCCAAACCCGGGTCAATGCGAAGGATCCTGCAAGATCCTGCAGGATCCTGCGCCCAAGCCCGGGTCAATGCGACCCTGGCGCTGCAGGATCCTGCAAGATCGGGCGCTCTGGCTGACCCCCGTCTGCATTGACCCCCGTCTCAAGGCTCCCGACGGGTCACGCCACGACTCGCGCCGGCGCCGTCTGGGCATGCCCACGACTGGCCAGCTCCCAGACGGCGCCGGCGCGCGTCGTGGCGTGGCGGGCGCGGTCGCGCATGTGAAAAAGCAGGGCCCGACGTTGCCCCCGAGCTGTGGCTGGAGGCCTCCTGGATGGGGTCCGAGTGCAGTGGGGGCGCTGACCTGAGGAACACTCAAGGCTCAAGACTTCCGAATTGACCCCCGTCTCAAGGCTCCCGAATTGCTGGAACGCCTTCCAGTTACCGGCGATGGGCCCACGACGGCGACGCCACCAGCAGCCCCGGGCAGGGAGGGGGCCGCCGGGCCTCCTCATGAGCGATTGGAAGCCGGAACGCCCCCCGTTTAGGAGGCAACTGCTGGGAGGCTTTCGCCGGAAGGACTAAGGCAGGGAAACGAACTCTATACACCGACGCTTTTCCCGACCCTGCGCTGAAGGTCGCACAGGAACGCGGATTCTGGTGTATACGGGGCCCTGGTGTATACATTTTTCATTGTTTTCCCAGGGAGCGGATCAAAAACTATACACCACACCGCCCCGACGTCGTCCCCGGCCCTCAAAAATTCCTGGGATTGAAAAACAGCCCACCACTGGTAATGTATACGCTCCAGTTTCCGATAAGGAGGATTACGCCCCATTGGGGGACTGTTACGCCAGAAGGGGCCTCGGATCATCAAGCGGGATTATAAACGGGATTGAGCCGGATTCAGCGAAATAATCAGCGGGATGAAGCCAGATTTCGGACCAGGGCGCAAACAGAATTTTTGACCTCCCAGGAGTTGCATCCGAGCCCCCGCCTGCGCCAGCCCCCCCCCCCCCCAGCCAGCGTTGCCCCTGGGCACCGGTGCCGAGGACTTGCCGGGCCTCTTCCCCGGCCCGCCCTGGGACTTGGCGATGGCGCCCATCCTCGTGGCCCTCACGCCGGCCGCCTGTGGAGGCTGCAGAGGCGAGGCTCGCCACATCGCTCGGACGTCCATGCCCTGTGCTTTGTTTGTTCGGTTTCGCGCGTGGCTTTTTCGCCAAATGATCAAGGACTTAGCTGCCCCGATACGCAACACGCGACATGTAGCGTATTGATACGGAGCTCAACACGTGGACTGAAAACGTAGGTCCGACGCGATACGTTCGCAAAACGTGGAGCCAACACGCAACGTATTGACACGGACGTCTTGAACACGGGACGTATTGCGTATCAGAACAGGCGTATCGAGGCAACTAAGATCAAGGATGCTCATCGATGGCCCTCGCCGAAGGAACAACTGCACGCCCGAGCGATGCCAAGAAGGGGGGGGCACACAGCAGGCCGCCCCCCTCGCTCCTCGGCGCCTCCTCTCTTCCCCCCGGGTCCTCCTCGACATGGCAGGCCGCCCCCTCCTCCGCGAGCCCCTCCCTCCCTCCCGCGTGCAGTCGGCCCGCAGCAGAAAGGCGCACGATGAGGATGCAGGGGCCTCGGACGGCCACGTCGACGCTTTGCGAGCGGGGCGCGGCCAGCGGAAGCGGCCAAGGGTGCGCCGAAGGGGAAGGACGCAAGGGTTAACCTTGAAAAGTCCTCCTCCTCCTCCTACCCCTCTTATGCGTCCGATCCGAGAACATCGTATAACCATCTTGTGGTAAATGGTAAATCGTTTCCCGAGAGGTACGGCCAGAAAGCGCCCGAAAAGGAGCGTACACTAGAAGACTTCTCGGTGCGACAGGGCGATGCCCCGATCTGAAGGCCTGCCTTCTCAGAAGGCCGCCCCGCCCCTGCTTTGTGCGCGCAGCCAACCCACCGCCGTACCTAGAGGCCTCCCAGATGGGACCAGAGTGGATGGGTCGGAGGATCGCGCCGCATCGCCGATGCATCACCGATGCGTCGGAGATGCATCGGCGACGTGGCGATGCATCGGCGACGTCGGCGAGGAGAAAACCAGGCTCCGCATCGAGCCGCATCGCCGATGCAGCGGCGATGCGGCGCGATCCTCTCTGAAGGGGCCCCAGGGCACACAAACAAATACACACAAGTAAACTTCCCATACTTTCCCCTATTTTCGGGGGAATCGACGATCAATTGTGTCCGTGTGTTGTTTCCCCTCTTTGTTAATTCAAGCTTCGCGCGGCCCGCTTAGCTTCGACCGGAAGAGGTGCGCTCTCGACCCGCGAATCAAAAAGTGAGTTTTTTCCCCTCCTGATCATCCCTTCGCCCCGCCTCCGTCTCCCTCCTGTCTGCCCCGCCCTCGCAGACCATCCTCGGCGCCCCTGCCTCCCCCCCCCCCCCCGCGCGCTGTGCGCCGCCCCCTGCGCCGTCCGCCGCTTCCTCCTCCTCCGAGTGCGCTTTCTCCTGCCGTCTGTCCCTCTCCTCCTGCTCCACCTCATGTTTTGTTTTGTTTGCTGCCTGTTCTGTTTGGTTTTTCCCCTCCTGACTCTCCACATGCTCGGACCCCACCTGAGCGACGATCGCAAACGGGCCCTGCGCGCGACGCGCCGCAGCTTACACCGCGCGGCAGAACACGGGGGGCAGCCAGCGCGGCACGCCGCGCCGGGAGACGAGGGCGCTCACGAGAACGACCCCACGCGAGGAGCCTACGCGCGAAGGTCGGCGCAGTCAGACCCGTTTTTGTTGCGTCGCCTGTGGGGGGCAGACAAACCTACCTCGCTTTTGACCACCCTCGCTTCCAAAAAGAGACACCACACGATGCCAAACTACGGCCTGTACTGGTCAGGCCGCTCGACGAGGAGGCGCGTGGTATGGCTTGGCTTTGCCTGGAAGCGAAAGCGGGGCAGGCAATTCACGCTCTGCATCTGGGCAGCCTGGGCCAACTCAGCGGGAGGTCCCGAGGGAGACGGGGCCTGGACCCTGCGGCCTCCCCCCGGTCAGATCCTTCTCCTCCCGAGTCGCTTTCGGACGGCTCCGGGGGGGGGCCCTGGAGTAGGGGGACGAAACATTTTATGTTTATGTATGCGTAAACATAGAAACTCGAAGGTCCGCGCGGATTTCTCGGATCGGCGCTGGGGCCCCCTGGCGGCGCCTCCGGCGCCGCCCCTGGCGCGCTCCGCGCGCCAGGGAGGGGGGTCCAGCGCGGATCCAAGAAATCCGCGCGGACCTCAGAGTTTTTCTGTTTACGTCACTTTTCGTTTCCCTGTGGAGGGCCCCGAGGAGCCCGAAAACAGCGAACAACAACAACAACAACAACAACAACAACAACAACAACGAAAACAACAACAACAACAACAACAACAACACCAACAACAACAACAACAACAACAACAACAACAACAACCACAACCACAACCACAACCACAACCACAACCACAACCACAACCACAACAACAACAACAACAACAACAACAACAACAACAACAACAATTACTAGCACGTGGGGACACTCCGTTCTCACCAGTGCCAGGTTTTCATAGGAGGCGGGCAATACCCCCACTTTGTGGGGGGGCCGGTTCAAGCTCTACCAAATTTCCAAACGACTCTTCGCCACCACCCACACCCAGCTTCCCGCCCTATGACGTTCGGACACTTCACTTCGTGGCATGCGGACGACCGTGGCTACTATTCAGGGCCCCGCGGCCGACGACGACGGCGTGCGCGCGCGAAGAAAAAACGAATGTGTCCCGCATGGTATTATTTGACAGGGATGATGGCCCTGGCAGGTGCGCAACCGTTGTTGCAGAAGTTCGAAAAAGTTGCTCGCAAAAGCCCGTTTGACAGAAATGTTTAAAAAGTGTTGGGTTTCCTACGAATCCGCAAGAGCGCGCGGGATGAAATTTTGACATTTTTTTTTTGAAAAACCATTGGTTTTTTGATGTTTTTATGTTAAAATCGCTACGAAAACTAAGGTTTTGGAAGGATTTCGTCTTGCGCGCGCGAATGTCCACTTTACCTTATTTTTTGCAAGGGATTCTTGAAGTTTGGATATGTTAGAACAAGAAATTTCATGTTATAGTGTTTTTTGCAAGGGAAAGCGGATTACAACAAAACAACCGGATCTGGATCACATCGTTTTACCTGAGGCTTCCTCACGAAAATGATGAAAATGTGGCTGCGGCCTAGGCGCGGCGGGGGGGGCGTGCACCAGGGGGCCCAACAATAATTATTCTTTAGAAGTAATAATATTCAACAACAACAACAACAACCTCAGGGACCCTTCTCCCTCAGGTCTCGTCTCCCTCACGGCGACCTCTCCCCCCTCATCGGCCCCCTCTCTCGGCCGCCACCTGCGATTCTGGGCCCAACGGGAGCCCAAGAGCGCCTCCCAAACCGCCGCAAAATCCCGGCCCTGTTCTGGCCATCGCTCGGACGTCCATTCCCCGTGCTCTTTTCGGTTTCGTGCGCGGTCTTTTCGCAGGATGATCCAGGATGCTCCTCAGTAATCCTCGCCGAGGGGGGAGCTGCAATCGACTACCCCCACTCCTGCCCCAAGAGGCCCCCAAAAGCCCCCCAAGAGGCCCTGGGGGCCCCCAAGACGCCGCCAAGGAGCCCCAAGAGACTCCCAAGGGGTCCCCACGAGGCCCCCAAGAGGCCCTAAAGAGGGCTCCAGGGCCGGCGGAATGAGCGAAGCGATTATTAACCCTCGCCGAGAAAAAAGTGCACACGTCCGAGCGACACCAAGGGTTGCCAACGCAGGCTCGGACGTGGGCGGGGCCAGCGCGAAAGGTGCTCGCGCGTGGGCTGGTCCTCCGGCGGCCCTCCCGGGGCCGCCTCGAGGCCCAGCCTGGGGCCCTCTTCGAGCCCTCTCTCGGCGGCTTTCGGGCCGCACTGGATCACAACTGGGTCGGGCGGGCAATTAGGTTGGCTTGCGATTTGGGACGAAGAAACAATAATCCAAAACATATAGACCGCAAATGCGCAAACACACCAAAGACATCGTCCCCGGACGATTCGTCTGCTGCTCTTGATTGCTCCCCCTGTAGAGGGACACGCCCGACTTCAGGCTACAATGCTGGGCGGTGCTCTCAGTTCGGGTGTTGCTAGAAGTGCCCCTGGCCCAAGGTGCCCCCAGCTTTTCGCTCCGTTTTGGAGCCCCTGGTGCCCTGTGGGCCTCGTGAGGGGTGCCCTGGAGGCCCCCTGGGCCACCCCGAGAATCCTGGGGGTACCTTGGGCCACGGGTACTTCTAGCAACACCCGATCAGTCTTGGCCGCCCCCGGCGGACTCCTCATCTGCCTCCCTTCGCCCCGCCTCCGTCTCCCTCCTGTCTGCCCCGCCCTCGCAGACAATCCTCGGCGCCCCTGCCTCCCCCCCCTTCTCTCCCCCGCGCGCTGTGCGCCGCCCCCTGCGCCGTCCGCCGCGTCCTCCTCCTCCGGGTGCGCCCTCCTGCCGTTCGTCCCTCTCCTCCTGCTCCACCTTATATTTGTTTTGGTTTATTTTCTGTTCTTCGGGGGCGGCTAAGCGGGGGGTGTCCAAGAGGGGGGGGTGCAAATCATGACCGGCGGCATATGCGCGGCCCAGCGGGGGGGGCCAGGGACGTAATGATTTAAGCAGAGGCGCCATAAAATCAGGGGAAATATCGTGGCCTCCGCCATGATATCCCCCCCCCTAGTCATCACCCCCCTCTTTTCCGCCCCCGAGTTCTGTTTTGTATTTTCCGACCCGGGAAACTGCCGACCTGCTCCTCCTGCTCCTCCTGCCGAAAACATCGGCGTAAACATCAGCTTATGGCGCTCCGCGCGGGCTTCTTGGATCTGGGCTAGAAACCCCTCCTTGGCGCGCTCCGCGCGCCAGGGGCGGCGCCAAAAGCGCCGCCGGGGGGACCAAAGCCCGGATCCGAGAAATCAGCGCGGAGCGCCAAAAGTTTCTATGCGTATGCAGATGTTTCTTCTTCGATGCTCGTCCAGGACCTTCTCGGCTACACGCAAGAGTGGCCCTGCATAAGAGTGACCTTTGGTGCGCGGCTTCTTGGGGGCCGCGGGGGGGGGGGAGCTTCACCTGGGCGCGCAAGCCGCTGCTACCGCTTCGCATTCAGCCATCCGGGGACCCATCGGTGCCCGCGCCAAAGGCCACTCCGGCGAAGGGTCACTCTTACGTGTAGTCGACCACCCAGAGATGCAACGTCGCTGATTTCTTCAGCGCGCGGTCCCCAGAAGTCTCGACCCTTTCCCCAGGACCGGTGTTTCATCCTGAGTCGTTTTTCGACGGTCCCGAGGCCAGGCGAGGGCCTCCAGAGGCCGAGAACGGCCAAAAGCCTCACGCCGTGATTTCTGTACGACGCGACCTTGTCTGGGCATCGCGGGGCCGCCTTGGACATCGACGCCTTGCCGGCCTTGCTCGGCGGCGGTGCGGGCTGCTGCTGCTGCTGCACCCGCCGCCACGGCGGCAGCTGCTGCGCCTGCGCCCGCCGCTGTGCGGGCGGCGCCTTCGGCGGCGGGGCCTGGGGGGGGCATCGCGGGGGCCCACACGGTGGGCTCGCGCGGCGTCGGCGCGCGCAGAGTCGCCGCCTCGACCGCTCCGCCTCGGACCGCTCGCGGCCCCGATCGTTCCCAGCGGACCTCCGTCGGGCCCTGTGCCGCCACCGTGCCCCATCGGCGCTTCCGCGTCGTTCCACCGTGCGGGGCCAGGCCATACGGCGAACGAATCACACGCACCCATACCCATAGGGGGGGCGGAGGGGGCCATGGGTGCGTGTTGTCGGAACGGGGGTCCCCGTTCGAACGGGAGCCTCCCCCAGGGTCCGACAACCCGCACCCATACCCATAGCCAGTCCTCCTCTTTCCGACATTCCTATGGGTATGGGTGTGCGTGGTTCGTTCGTCACCATACCCCTCGCGCCGTGAAAAGAACAGGGGCGGGCGGCTTTTCGCAAATTTCGGCCTCGGGGGGCCCTCGCCAGGCCCCGGGACCATCAGAAGATGACCTAGGACGAGAAGCTGGTCGTGGGGAAATGGTCTAAACCTCTGGGCTGCCGACGTTGAGAAACAATCGCGACGTCGCGGGAAGGGAGACCCTGAAATGAGGTCGTGCAAATTGTCTGCACTGGGCGCGCTCGACTGGTACTCGGCTGGTCGACAGCGCTGGCGTCCGCCTTCGCGGCTGACCCCAAGGTTCCTCGGGGTTCCTTCGGCACTGAACTTAGGGAACGAAGAACGGTATTCGAGGAACAAAAAACCACGTAATCGTTCATTGTTGGAGGTCCGCTCGGAATTCTGGCGCCCCAGGGGGGCCCCGAGCGGATCCAAGAAATCCACGCGGAGCGACTAAAGTTGATGCTTATGGCGTTTTGCTCTTCTTCGAGGTCTACCAAAAAACTTGTCCAGCCGCCCTGGGGGCAGGCGCTACCCCCCAGACCTCTCCTGGGGTGCGTTCTGACTAGGACTTCGAGGCGAATCCGGCGTTGGCGTCGAGGGCCTTCCAGGAGGTTCAACAAAGAGGAAGACGGGCGGGGGGTAGAGGTATGGGTACCTTCTCCTCCTCTGGGAGCTTCGGGGGCGAAGAACAGCGTGCACAATTTGTCCAACGGCCCTGGGGGAGGCGGGCGCCCTCGGCGGCGGAACAGTTCTCATGCCATGGCGTGCGCCTCCCGCGCTGGTGCACCCAGGGGACCCTCGTCGGGGGCGGCCCCAAGGTGCACCCAAACGCCTTGACCTCCGACCGGTTTCCCTGTGCGGCTCCAGGGGGCCTCCTGGTGGCCCCGGGCGGCTCTCTTCGGCCCTCCTGGGGAGCTGCCTCGGGAGTGTCCTGGAGATCTCTTGGGCCGTCTACGAGGAGGGGAGGGCGAGGAGGAGGAAGAGGAGGAGGAGGAGGAGGAGGAGGAGGAGGAGGGGGAGGAGGAGAAGGAGGAGGAGGAGGGGAGGAGGAGGAGGGAGGAGGAGGGAGGAGAGGGGGGAGGAGGGAGGGAGGGAGGGGAGGGAGGGAGGGAGGGAGGGAGGGAGGGAGGGAGGGAGGGAGGAGGAGGAGGAGGAGGAGGAGGAGGAGGAGGAGGAGGAGGGAGGAGGAGGAGAGAGGAGGAGCGAGAGGAGAGAGGAGGAGCAGCTCCTCGGCCCCCAGCCGCCCCAGCCCGGCCCCCCGCCGAGGCAGCGCAGGCAGCGGGCACGCACTGAGGGGCCCCAGGGCCAAGGACGAGGCCAAGGGAGCAGAGGGAGGTAGGAGGGGGGGAGGAGGAGGAGGGAGGAGAAGGGAGGAGGAGGAGGAAGGAGGAGGAGGAGGAGGAGGAAGGGGGGGAGGAGGGATGGTCCCAGATCGATGACACTCCCAAAGCTACGCAGGAAGACTGGGTTTAATGCGGAAGGGGGACCTCCAGGAGGGGAGGGGGCGGGCGGAGGAGGGGTGGGGGGGACGGGGGGGGGGTGAGGGGGATCACCAATTGGCGGCGGCGCGCCGGGGGGGGGGGGGGGGGGGGATGGGGGAGGGGGGATTGCTCCTTCAAAGGAGGTTGCCTCTTAGAAGGCCCGCGCCTTCTATAGATAGATATGGGCCACGCCTTCTAAGAAGCAGGGGTGCTTCTAAGAAGGTTTCCCCCCTCCCCCTGCCCCCCTCTGCGCGTAGCCGAACCAAGCGCGCTACAGGCGCAGAGGGCACCTACACACAACTTTAGATACGAGGCGGTCAGCGGCGATATGCTGGAGAACGTGGGGCAGTTACGAAAGGAAGAAGGAGTGATCAGCAGGGAGGAGCATGCGGACCCAGACTTCCCAGCATCTTGGGCAAAAGCACGCTGGCGGAGAGACGGATGAAAGAGGTGTGGGGCTCTGAAGGAAGAGGAAGGAGAGAGGAAGGCGCACAATCATTCAGACGGATCGGCGCAGACCCCCCCCCCGTGGCCCATGGCACGCGCCGATTGCGCCAGGGGCAGCGCCGGAGGCGCCGCCAGGGTTCCAACGCAGATCCGACAACTCCGCGCGAAACCTTGGACTTCTGGCGATTTCTCCCCTCCGACCCCAGCCACTGTGCCCTCTGGCTCGCAGTGGCTGTCTTGCGGCCCAAGGCTATGAAATTGAAGTGGCTGGTCCAGCGCTATCCGACGGCCGTCGTGCTGCCATAAAGGACACCAGGGGAGCGTTGTTTTATTCGGCGTCTCGACATTGGGCGGAAGGGGGGGGGAGGAGGGGGATTTGGCTCCGACACTCTGCTTAGTGCGACTGTTTGCAGCACTGGGTCCTATGAGGGGAAACTCCACCTGCTCGAAACAGGCGCCAAACAACAGCCAAGATCTACTCCAGGGGGGGGAGGGGGGGTACGAGGGCCCGCGCCGATCGGCAAAACAATGAATCCGCCGACCCCTTGTGGGTGGGTCTCTACGCGTGTGCGATAGTTCCTCCCCTAACCCCCCCCCAAGGGCCCCAAACCGGAGATTTGACCCCCCCCCCCCGGCCCCGGCCGACCCCGGCTTTCGTGCCTCCCGCAGGGGGCAAAAGGCAAAAAAACTTGCCAAGAGCGCACCAAGAGGCCCCCGAGACGGTCAAGGAGGCCTCGAATAGCCAAACCAGCGCTCGAAGACTCCCAAAACGGCCCCAAAACAGGCCAAGAGACTTCCAAGATGGCCCAAGAGACTTCCAAGAAGCGCACCAAGAAGGCCCCCAGACACAAAAATGGTCTCATTCCCTTAGTAAGACGTACATGTTTAGTCTTCTCGCCTTTTCTGATTTCCGACGTTCCACGATGGCCCAGGAGGTTCCCAACACCGCCACAAGACGGCCCATGAGGTCTTCAAGAGGGCCCCGAGACGGCCCATGAAGGCCCCAAGACGGCCCAAGGGGCGCCCAAGACGGCCTAAGAGGGTCCCAAGACGGGCCAAGAGGGGGCCCCAAGAGGCGCCAGGAGGCCCCAAGATGCCCCCAGAGCCCCAAGAGGCTTCCCAAGAGGCCCCAAGGGGCACCCAGGAGGCCTCCCAAGACGCCCCACCAAGCCCCCCAGAGGCCCAAAAGAAGTCCCAAAACGGCATCCAAGAGGCCTCGAACCTGGTTCCGAGAGGCCCCCGACAGGCCAACACGATATCCCAACGAACATCCATGAACCCTCTATCGTCGTCGTCGTCGGCGTCGCCTTCGTCGGCTTTATCCGGTCCCTTTTCCTCCCCTTCGCCCTCCCCCTTCCTCCCCCTCCTCCTCGTCCTCCCCGCCTTTTTCATCCTCTGCTCCTCATCCTCATCCTCCCCGTCTTCCTCCTCCTCTGTTTTCACTTTCTTTGCGTTCCTCTCTTCATCGGGTTTTTGGGATCCTCCCTCTCGTTCGGCCCCCCGGTGTTCCCACTTGTACTCGCCATGGCACGGGCGCCCTGCTGGTATCAGTTGCGCGCCTTGCACTTCAGGGTTCCCCTCTTCTCGTCACGCGCCACATTGCCCGCTTTCACGGAGAAAGCCGACTTTGCCAATTTCCTCTGGCACTTGCCACTTCACTGAAAGGCTTCCCAACCGCGATACGTGAACCCGACGGCAATGCAATCTGCGCATGCAACTTTAAGACTCTTCGTGAAGTGCCTGCTCTCCGGTTCTGCGCTCATGTGCTCCTGCCGAACGAACCCTTTCTTGCACGCCGCGCACGTGAGCTCTCTCTTCAACCGTTTCGCCGCATCCGATACCTCCTTCGCCGTCCTGCCGCGTTTGCTACAATCGCCGCAAACCACTCGTTGTCCCGTCCTCCTATGATCCTCCACCTGGTTGCTATTCAAATGGCCTGCCCCTGAAAAACTCACCCCGCATCCTGGCACGCAGCACGTCAGCGGCTTCGCGTCCGCCTCGGCCTTCTGTGTGCGATTCGCTGCCTCCGCATTCTCCCGCCGCGCCTCGTTACCTCGCCCCTCCGCGCATTTCCGATAGAGCCTCTCCCCCGCTGAATTGTGTTTTTCTGTGCATCCGACATTTCCGCATGCTCGTCAAACAGCGACAGACACGTCTGGTTTGAACATCGCACAGTTCCAACGCTCTCATTCCAGTTCGCGTTGCCGCTCCGCGACTTCTGCTTGGCTTTGACGTGGCTGCACTTCACGCAGTGCATTGACCGAATCCTTTTTGTCTCCGCGCCGTCCGGCGCTGCATCCGTGTCCCGACCGATACCATGTCGACTCGCATCGTGACTCTCGGCTCTCGTTGCCCACACTCTGCACGTCGCGCACCATTTCTCGTCCGCGATCTTCATCGCTTGCGTGCACTCTTTGCAGAATGCGGGCCTTTCCTTCCTCTGGAACTCGTATTTCGTGAACACCTCTACCAGCAATCTCCGACGGCAGCGCTCGCACTGGTCTCGTGGCATTAGTTCCGCCTCCCACTCATCACAATTCACGCTCTCCCCTCGCAGCACCCGCAATAAATGTTTCGTGCCTTCCATCTCACCTACGTCGTGCGGTATCCTATCAAACGGCCAGAATGTCAGCCGGAAAAACAAAATCGACCAATCAAAATCGTAGACCAAGTCTGGGGTGGCTGCGGTGGGGGAGGGAGAGCGTCGTAGTCGTCGTCGTCGTCGTCGTCGTCATCATCGTCGTCGTCAGCGCCGTCGTCGTCGTCGTCGTCGTCATCATCGTCGTCGTCAGCGCCGTCGCCGGCGTCGTCGTCGTCAACCTTCGGCAGCGTTCGTCCTCGTAGTCGTCGATGTCTCGCTGGAGCTCGCGCAGGATCTCGAGTTCTCGTCGCGCTTTTTGAGTGCAGTGGGGGCTCCATCACAAGACACCTTCCGCAAGAAACAGAACCCTGAAACCCAAGGGTGCCCCTCGTTTTTCGGCATGGGGACGCGGCGCTTTCCTTCATAGAACCGTCGACAAAAACCTAGGGCGCCCTTGAGCGAAGCGGAATGTTTCTCCACATGGGCCCCCAGTCTATTGTTCACCCTCCTCCTCACCCGCCTGTTCCAACTCCTCCTCCTCCTCCTCCTCCGCGTCCTTCTCCTCCTCATCCTCCTCCTCCTGCTCCCTCCTGCTCCCTCCTAAATCGGCCCCCTCCCCATCCTCAACCCTCCTCCTCCTCCTCCTCCTCCTCCTCCTCCCCCGATTCCTCCTCCATCCCGGTCCCGCGTTGTTTTGGGCCTCCAGGGGCGGCTCTCGGGCCCCCGCCGCTCAGGAACGAATCCGGGGCTCAGCCTCCATAAGCCAACCGTGGAGCCCAAGACTGTCAACCTGGTGGACCCACGAAACCCAGAAGAGGTGCAGGACAGCCACACATGGTGATGTCTGAAGGCGCGTAAATTCGAGCAGCGGGAAATGGCGACGCTGAACACATCGAAGGTGACAGCGCCGCGCCACAGATGCGCGCTGTCCTGCTCCGCGTTGTGCCATTCTACCAAGCTGAGAGTCCGACATCAAACCGACACGACAGACACCGAGCACGGACTGACCCAAATCCGGCACACCGAGAAGCGACAAACAGAGACAAAAGGAGACGAAGCAATAGAAACCCACACGAGGACCGCAACAACCCCTAGAACGGACCGGGGACCGATTTTTTGCAGATTTTACTCGGGAGGTGATCACGAGCAGCGGGCGTTTGCACCTACGACGCCTTGAAAACACCCGCGAACACCTCCCAGTGTCATCGGCGCGTCAGATGCCCCCCCCCCCCGCAAACCCCTCCCCTTCAAGCCCCGTCCGTTTGATCTGGAGAGGGAAGGGGGGATGCAAGAAGGCTCTTTCGCCTCATCCCCGCCTCTCCTCTCCTTCGCGAACTACACGTAAAGGAAACCCCTTGCGGGTCTCCAGGCGTGTGATATTCTTCCCACCCCATAATCCCACCCCCCCGGGACCCCGAACCGGATGTTTAACCCCCCCACACGGCCCCAGACGACCCCGCGCGAACGCGCCATGGGGGGCTAGAGAGCGCCACAGCGAACCAGGACGGCCCAACGGAGCTCCCAAACAGTCCATGAAGGCCACGAGTCACCGAAAGGGAGCCGCCACGCGAGGTCCAAGAAAGCCCCAAGATGGCCCTAGAGCCCACAAAGCAGCATACCCCCAGACAACCCCAGGCTGCCCCAAGAAGCCTCCAAGGCTGCGAGTGAATCAAGGGGTCGGCGGATGTGGCGTAAGCCTGAAACATAAAACTACCCTGGCGACGTACTCAACCCCCGCGCAATGCGAGGCAGGAGAAGCTTGGGAGATTTGACGAGAAGGCGGCGACGTGACATGGACGCATATACTTCTGCGAGCGGCGGTCGGGAGGTTCGCAGGCCCTCAATCAATGGAAATCCGGTGAGTAACGAAGTGAACCCCTGAGTCACTAAGGAAGACGCAAGGTCCAAAAGGAGACGGTGGACAAGGGGCTTGAAACGTCGGGGGGGCAGCAACAACATGACATGGCCCCCTAAGGACGGGGAGGTCCCGCTCAAGTCTGCGCATTGCCTCACTCCGCTGGACTCACGAGCAGCCCTCGAAAGTGGCGAGCCCAACAGCAGCCCTCGAAAGTGGCGACAAGTTCGCAGATCGCAGCCCCCCAGGGACGGGGAGGTCCCGCTCAGATCCGCGCGATGCCTCACTCCGCAGGACCCACCAGCAGCCCTCGAAAGTGGCGACAATGTCGCAGATCGCAGCCCTCCAGGGACGGGGAGGTCCCGCTCAGATCCGCGCGGTGTCCCTCGCCGCTGGACCCACCAGCAGCCCTCGAAAGTGGCGACAAGTTCGCAGATCGCAGCCCCCAGGGACGGGGAGGTCCCGCTCAGATCCGCGCGGTGCCTCACTCCGCCCAGCAACCCTCGCAAGTGGCGACAATTTCGCAGATCGCAGCCCCCCAAGGACGGGGAGGTCCCGCTCAGATCCGCGCGTTTCCTCACTCCGCTGGACCCACCAGCAGGAGAGAACGAGGGAGAGCGGGAGGAAGGGAGGGGGGAGGGACGAAGGAAGAGGGACAACGCCAGGAAAGAAGGAGCGAAGAGGGGGGCAGTTGATTCGAGGCAGAGAGAGAGAGGGTATGAAAGAGAGAGAGAGAGAAAGAAAGAAAGACAGATAAGGGAGGTAGAGAGAGGGGAGAGAGAGAGAGAGAGAGAGAGAGAGAGAGAGAAAAAGAAAGAAAGAAAGAAAGAAAGAGGGAGGAGGCAGGAGAGGGAAGGGAGAAGGGATGAGGGAGAGGAGGGAAAGGGGATAGGGCAGAGAGGCATAAGGATGAGGGAAGAGAGGAGGGAGAGAGAAGGGAGGAGGGAGGAGGGAGAGGGAGGAGGAGCAGGAAGGTAAGAGCGTGAACGTTCGAGGAAGTCCTAAGCGAAAGCGCCATTCCTGAAGGAAGTCTCGGGCGGGAGCCCACGACGGGCGGGCGATCCCCTGACGGGCGGGTCGGGCGGGTGGGACATTCAAGCGGGATGCCCGAGTCTGGCGAGAGCGCGATTCCTAAGTAAAGTGTGACGGCGTCCTTGGCGCAGCGTGTTTCCTGAGCGTCGAAAGCGCGAGTTCTGCATAATTTGCATGGAAATCACAGGCGAGAGCGCGACTCCTGAATAAAATGTGAGGGGTTCGCTGGCGGGAGCGGGGGTCTTAAAGAAATGCGAATTGCGAGGAAATCTCAAGCGGGAGCGCCGTTCCTGAGTAAATTGTGAGGAAGTCTCAGATGGGAGCGGGGGTCCTGACTAAATTGCGAGGAAGTCGCAAGCGGGAGCACCGAGCCTGAGTCAATTGTGAAGATTTCTTAAGCGGGAACGGGTGTCCTGAGTAAATATGGCGGAAATCTCAAGCGGGAGCCGTTGTTGTAATTGTTGTTGTAATCCGGGGGGCCATGGGCACAGTTTGAGCATCAAGACTTTCCCTTTCAAAAAACAGGGTGCGAGCGTCGAGGGGCACACTTTGATTGAGAAAAAACAATATGCACCGGTGAGGGGGATCAACCGTAACTATTCTTCAGAAATGAGAATTCAACGCAACAAGCAGACTTCTCATCACACATTCCCTATTCAGGCACGCACCCAGGGACAATGAATGAAATGACCGTTCGGCCCCGTCACTCTGATACGTATAGATATGTGTATAGATATGTAAAGAACTATACACGCAAAGTTACCCATTCACACAAATATACATGCAAAAGAGAACGTGCATGCACATCAGGGGTCTGGATCCACGCGCGTAGGAGTCTGTGAGGCAATGCTGTGATTCTAGAGCGTGGGAGGAGCACGGCACCTGGGGATCCAAAGGAAAACTCTGGGCCTGCGTGAATACACGCGCCAACTGCAAAGAGACCAACCCTAAGATCCGACGTTGCGAATCAACTGCAACATCACGAGACCCTACCTTTTCTGCTGCGTGTTTCCCAGCCTGATCGGCTCGTGGCCTGGAACTGGGCGTAAGCGCCCTGTGCGAAAAAAACGGCCCCGAAACTCAGGGAACAGGAACATTGATAGAGGCCTTCTAGATGGGGACCGAGTGGATGGGGTCGGATGATCGCGCCGCATCGCCGATGCATCGGCGATACATTGGCGATGCGTCGGCGACGTCTGCGATGCATCGGCGGAGCATCGCCCATGCATGGGCGATGCGGGGCGCTTCTTCGACCCATCTGCTCGAACCTCACCTGTAGAAGGTCACATGCGAACCCTACCCCACCACCCCACGATTTCTAGGAGGGGAGGTGGGGTTCACTTCGTTGCGGACCTCCCGCGCGAAGTGAACACCGCCTCCTCCTCTCATAAATCATGGAGTGGTGGGGTAGGGCTCGCATGTGGCCTTCCAACCTGGGAGGCCCAGAGCGAACACCAGCACGACGCCCTCGCCTCCCCCCGAGCTTTGTCTGAAACGGGCGGCACCGGCCGGGGAGGAGGAGGAGGAGGAGGAGGAGGAGGAGGAGGAGGAGGAGGAGGAAGAGGACGACGACGAGGAGGAGCGCCTGGGGCTGCGCGGCGCGCCAGGGTGCGCCTTTGAGCTTGCCGTCCTGGGCGGCCTGAGGGGGGGGGGGGGGGAGGGGGGCCGCGCCCCGCGGCCACGGGCGGGGAGGTCAGCGCGGAGCAGGCAGCGCTATCCGGCGATGTGCTTGCAGATTCTAGGCGCTCCTCCTCCAGCTCGGCCCTCGAGGGCATTTGGGCGACGTAAGAGAAACGGGACTCACGCGAGAAGGCCCAGATACCTCAGGCGGCGGCTTACGCAGGCCGCCAGCGCGTCACGCCACACTGGAAGCGAGGGCGCTTACGCGCGACCTTGCGCGGGCAGCTTACGCGCCAATGCTGGTGAACACGACCCCCTTTTTCTGCGTCGCTCAGTTGTCGGGCCCCAGGCTTATCAAACATTGTTCTGGGGCGAGAAACTGCCCCCGTGAAAGCGGTCGGAACCTCTGGAGCTGCGGATTGAAACAAGCGCATCGGCGGCCGTCAAAAGAAGGGGTGTGCAAGTCTGAGGTTTTATCCACAACCACCCCCATGCGGTTGCTATATGGATACGCCCCCGCATCGGGGGGCCCCGAATTTGGTTCGCCGCTCTGGAGCCCCTGGTGCCCTCCACGGGCCCCGGGGCCGTCAAGGAGAACGACTCGGGATAAAGCTTAGGGCTGATCCTCCGGAAATCCTGGGGTCCAAGACCCGTCTACCTCACGACCGTCTCCTTGGCGTGTCGCCGCGGCGGCCCCGGCGACACGCCATGCCCTGCGATGGCGGATGGCGTGTCGCCCCGCTCCGCGGTGGCATAGGAGGAGATTGAACATGGCAGGACTGCCTAAGTCGGGCCTGTCCCCCTACAGGGGGATTCTCGACGAAAAATACAAACAAAAACTCAAAAGATGCTCCAAAATGGCAAAAAAAAACTTCAAATCAAGTCCCCAGACTATTGCTTTGACTGTTTTTGAACATATCTCCTGTAGAGGGACGGGCCCGACTGAAGCCTAGCAAGAACCCAAGACTGCTTTGCAAACGAGAGAAGGACGCCAATGGGCGACCGGGCAGACTCGGCAGTGCCGTGCGCGCCGACACGGCGGATTGAGCAGCCAGGCCCATACATCCTGCGCCTCGACGACCGCTGCCCCAGGGAGGAGGGGGGAGGGGGGGAGGAGGGAGGAGGGGGGGAGGAGGGGAGGAGGGAGGAGGGGGGAGGAGGGAGGAGGGGGTGGGAGGGGAGGAGGGGGGGGAGGCCCCACCCATCCCATCCTGCCTCCCTCCCTCCCACCCTGGGCTTCGGCCAGGGAGGGCTTTCGGCCGGGCGCTGCCGGGGGGCCGTGGCGTGTCCGCCTCTCCTTCCCCCCTTCCCTCCCTTCCTTCGCCTCCTTCCCCCCCCCTCCCGCCGGCCATGCCGCCGCCGATGCTCGGGCGGGTGGTCACGTCGACTCAAAAAATCGCGACGGGAGGCTTTGGGCAATTTTCGGCCTCCAAGGGGCCCTCGCCGGGCCCCGGAACCGTCTATAACAACGACTCGGGATACAAGATCGGTCCCGGAGGAAGGGTCGGGACTTTCGGGGACCGCGCGTATTTGAAGGGGAACTGGGACACACAAATAGATACACACAAATAAATAGATTCCAAATATTTTCCCATATTTTCTATGTTTTTGTTTTCCCCCCACTTCCCAAATTTTCCATTATTTTCCTGGGAATCGACGATTAATTGTGTCTGTGTGTTTCTTCCCCTCCTGAGTATTGACGTCGCATGTCTGGGAATGGGGGGTGACCGAAACGGGGGGGTGGAGAAAGGGGCCCCAAAGGGCCGCTTGAGGGCCTCGTGGAGCCAGCAAGGGGCCAAAAAGGGGCCCTGGAGGGCCCCATGTAGGCCCCTTTTCTGCACCCCCCCATTGGGGTCACCCCCGTTACCGCCCGCCCCCCCTCCCCCCGGGCGTTCGGGGTCGCCGTGCTCCCCCACGAAGGGGCCCCCCCAAAGGGCCGCGGCGACCCCAGCACCCCAACACGCCCGGGCCGGGGAGTGGCCGGGTCCCACGCGTGCGCCCCCGGGGGCTGACTGGAAAAACATACACGCCGGTCGGAAGAAGTGGGTAGAGACATAAAGCAGGGAGGCGTTGGAAGTACATTGGGCTTCCGCCCGACCCCTGAAGAGGAGGGAAGAAGGAAACCAGTCGATCCTTGAAGTAGGAAGGCGCCCAAAGCAGATTGGGATCTGAGAATCCAGTCGTACCGACTTTCGACGACTGGCGTGCCATCCGAAGCATGGCCCCTGCCTTTTCTTATGGCAGCAAGAGGGGGAGCGAGGAGGGGAGGACTGCGGATCAGCTCGGGTAAGGAGCTAGCGGCCGTGGGGGAGGCCCTTCCTCTGGCGCTGCGGGCGGGCTCGGGGCGGGCTGCCGCCCCCAAGGGAGCGCGGGGCGGCGGGCGAGCCGCAGGAGCAGGCGTCCCCCCCTCCTCCTCCTCCTCCTCCTCCTCCCTCCTCCTCCTCCTCCTCCTCCTCCTCCTCCTCCTCCTCGTCCTCCTCCTCCTCCTCCTCCTCCTCCTCCTCCTCTTCCTCCTCCTCCTCCTCCTCCTCCTCTTCCTCCTCCCCCTCCCCCCCCACCGCCCCCGCGCTGGGCAGCAGGGAGGCGGGAAGCCGAAAGGGTGAAGCGGCGAATGGGGAGCCCAGGCGAGGAGGAGGGGGGGGGGAGCATGGGCAAGGATTAAGTCGACATGTCTTCCTAAGGGGGGGATTTTGGACAAAAAATAAACAATAGTCGAAACATACCCAAAACAAATTCAATAATGGTCAGACAATCTTCTCCAGACTATTTTTTCGCTATCTTTGAATATTCCCACTGTAGAGGGACAGGCCCGACTGAAGGCGAGGAGGAGGGGAGGCCACGCGAGGAGGGGGGGGGGGAGGAAGGGAGGGGGCAACCGGCGAGGAGAAGGGAAGGCCAGGCGAGGAGAGGGGGGGGGAGGGAGGGGGCGCCCCGGCCGCCCGAGCGATTTGCACCGTGGCCAGGTGCCGGGATGACGCAGCCCTTTCCAGTGCGGGCAGCGCTGCCATGCCTGAGAGAGGTCCGAAAGTGGTAACCTGTCGTTCGCGAGGTCCCCATGCGGTGCGCGTCAGTGGGCCCCCGCTGCTGAATGCCAGCTGTGGTATCCCTTCTTGGGCACCCGGAGAGTACACATTAGTGAGCACAGTCGGCCCGGACTAGTAGGTCGACCCTGCCAGCTCAAAGGTACCGTTGCGTCCTGTGCCTCGCGACACGTGCCTTCTTACGCTCCTATGGCGATGTGGCCCTCGGAAGGGTCTGGTGTCCTCTCGCGTGTCCTGTCCAATCAGGGCCGACTGTACCCACTGTGGTGCCGCTGGAGGCCAGGGTGGAACGTGACCCGGGGGGGCAGCGAGGAGGACCAGAGGCAGGAAGAGGAGCACGGATCTCCAGCCCGGAGAGATCCTAAGATCCGACGTTGCGAGAAACATAACATTCATCGTCACGGCTGGAACTCTTGGGCTACATCTTGCCACCGCGCCCTTCGAGCAAGATCGATGGGCGACGGCCCCGAAACCCTGCAAACATGGGCGACGTGAAACAAGTGTAACGCCCAAACATCAAGGAGACGAGGACGAGGAGAACGAGGATCTATCTACGCCGGCCGTCTTTGTTTTTTCTGCTCGGGGTTTTCATTTCTTCAGCTGAAGAAGGAGCGCGACCACCAGTGCTCGACACCTCGGCTATCAAACGCCACAGTGAGAGTCAGAGAATCTCCAGGCAAACGCAACAAGGCGACCTGGAATGTACAAATTCAGGCAGTGAGCCTTGGCCTGGGAGGGACACGCGGGACCCCAGCAAAATGACACCACGAGCTACACGTGACAATGATTGCCCAGGTGCGTTCCGTGCAGAAGCTGCAAATTTCCGGGATAACTCTGGTCAGGGGTAACTCCAGTCTGGACTCCCGACGCGTGAACAATAAGTTACCCTGACCACACCCAGCTTTGATGGTCCTGGAATGGTTGGACGCCAGGGTTACCTGGGATGACTCTGGTCCAGGGTAACTTCGGCTTGAGCCCCTGAAGCACGAATCAGGACCGAGATCCAAATCGGAATCCGAAAGGAATCGAATCGGAATCGGAAACGGTCGAGATCGAGTCGAGTCGAATCGGAGGAGGCAAAATGAGCTATGGATCCTTTGCCCTCTTGCTGACCCCGCTGACCTTGGCGACGACGACGACGAGGACCGGTGCAGAAGGACGACGACGACGACGACGGCGACGGCGACGGCGACTGCGACGGTGACGACGACGGCGACGAGCACAACGACGGCGACGAGCACAACGACGGCGAACACCACGACGACGACGACGCTCCGATCCTTCGCCCTCTTGCTGACCTTGTCGATGATCTTCTGGCTCTCCTCGGTGATGGCCTGGCGGCGGTGCACGGCGGAGGAACGCGCGCGCGCAGGCGGCGCCGCGCAGGCCCGAGGGCGGCCGCGGCGGGCGTGGGCCTCAGTCTGCGCTCGCTGCTGACCTTCCTCCCGACTGCTGCTGCTGCTGCTGCTGCTGCTGCTGCTGCTGCTGCTCCTCCTCCTCCTCCTCCTCCTCCTCCTCCTCCTTCTCCTCCCACCCCTCCTCCTCCTCCTCCTCCTCCTCCTCCTCCTCCTCCTCCTCCTCCGCCTCCTCCTCCTCCTCTCCCTCCCCAACCATCATCCTCCTCCTCCTCCTCCTCCTCCTCCCCCTCCTCCTCCTCCTCCTCCTCCTCCTCCTCCTCCCTCCTCCTTCCCCTCCGCCTCCCCCCTCCTCCTCGTCATCCTCGTCCTCCTCTCCTCCTCGTACGCTCCTCGTCCTCCTTCCACTCCTCGTCCTCCGCCTCCCCCTCCTCCCCTCCTCCCCCATCCTCCTCTCCTCCTCCTCCCCTCCTCCCCCCCCCTCCTCCTCCTCCTCCAACCTCCCTCTTTCTCCTCCTCTTTCTCCTCTTTCCTCCTCTATTCTCCTCCTCCTCCTCCTCCTCCTCCTCCTCCTCCCTCCTCCTCCTCCTCCTCCTCCTCCTCCTCCCCCTCCCCCCCCGCCGCTCCGCGTTGGGCAGCAGGGAGGCGGCCGAAAGGGTGAAGCGGCGAAGGGTGGCCCAGGCGAGGAGGGGGGGGAGCATAAGCGAGGATTAGGTCGGGCCTGTCCCCCACACAGTGGGATGGTTGACGAAAGAGTGCCCCCCCCATAGCTCCCAAGGTGTCCCCCGCTCTCTTCTTCTTCTTTTCCCCTCCTCCTCCTCCTCCTCCTCCTCCTCCTCCTCCTCTCCTCCCTCCTCCTCCTCCCCTCCCCCTCCCCCTCCCCCTCCCCCTCCCCCCCTGCCCCCTCCCCCTCACCCTTCCCCTCCCCCGCCCCCTCCCCCCTCCCCCTCCCTCCTCCTCCTCTCCTCCTCCTCCTCCTCCTCCCTCCTCCCGCCCTCCTCCTCCTCCTCCTCCTCCTCCTCCTCCTCCTCCTCATTCATTCATTCATTCATTCATTCATCATGAGGCGGACGGTTCGACGCCTATACAAAAGGAGGGGACGAGATGGGATGGACAAGGAAAGTAGAGCACGTACTCGCAGTGGAGTGATGCTAATCCATGCAAACCTGGGTTACTGCCAAAGGCGCAGTAGATGGATCGGGAACGGGCAGAGAGAAAGCAAAGCGGAGTCCTTCGCCCAGGGTGCGCGGTACTGCCGATGGCGCGTCACACTACTTAGTGCGACACCTTCGCATTACTATTTTTTAAAGTGAATGGACACTGGCGCTGACCAGCTAGGTCAGGGCATCGCCTTCGTGCGAGGGCCCTTCCCGCATTTGAGCAACAGTCAGTGGGGGAGGGAGGTTTGTCTGGAGTGGGTCCTCCACTGGTAGTCGTACCGCTGGGTGACCGTAGAATCGTGGCCTGCCCGAGTGTGTACATAGGTCGCCATCATGTAGTGCCAAATAAGGATCCAATGGCACATGAAACTTCCTAACGCCCAGGGGAACATCCCAACCATCTTCATCAGTTCGTAGGTCGATACAGTGTCGAAGCGTACTCTCTTCTCGCATCGTCCACTGTAGTGGATCCTCCTCCTCCTCCTCCTCCTCCTCCTCCTCCTCCTCCTCCGCCTCCGCCTCCGCCT